TTCCGTTCTTACTGGCTTTAAAAATGTCAAATTTTATAACCTTAAACTCTTTTGTTGTTTTAAAAAATATCACAGGTCACCAATTTCCCTGACACTGGAAAATTCTTCAGAGATGAAACTTGTTCCTGCCCAGCATCCCTGTCCCTGGTTGCTAGAGGAAGTCCTGTAGCCCTCGCTGTGGGACTGGGACCTGGCGCTCTCCGGAGACGAGGCCGCCTGCTGTTACAGAAAACTTAGGCAAAGCGGAAGTGTGGTGGTCCCCACCAACGATAGGCAGACACGGGTCCCTCTCTCCTGATTGGGGACCCAAGTTCTCTTCCTATCCATTCATTTCTGCAAATCACTTCTCCCTCTTGAAGTCTCCTCTGTGAAGGAGGGGGTGGAAGGAGTCTGTGTCTACGACGCTCCAGGTCTGAGACTCCCACAGCCCAATTCACCGAGGACGTCTCCTTTGAAGGGGAACCAGAGACCACCGCCAGCTCTGCAGGGTGTCAGGACAAGAGGCAGCTAAGCAAGCTGGATTATTTCAGGTTGAGGTTTAGAGGGTCCTTTGCTTCTCCTTTCTCACATTTTCTTTTCTTATTGATGCTCAGAGGTGTGGAAGGAAGAGAGAAGCCACCAGAACTCGAATCCATCAAGAAGTCTAATAAAGATTGGGTGAATGTATAGTCTAAAAACTTGAGACTAAATTGACTTTTTTTTCCCTTTGGAACCCAAAATAACACTTCTTTATAGTGCCCACATTGACCCAATCAGAACTGGCTACCACATTCAGAAATGTGTTACTTGTGTCCAAGTAATTTGTTATAGTAATTGAAAACATTTTTTGTAAAACACTTTGGATTTGGCACACTAAATGGTGAGTCTTTGCCAGCCTCCAGAGGGGAATGCAGTTTGGATAATACCTCATTGTAGCAAATGCCAAGACAATGATGTGTTCTTCAGGCTGTTCCCTGCCTTGGGGACGGTGCATAGAAACAGGGTTTTGTTGATTATCTGCTGAGAACGGTCCTGAAGAACAAGTGTTTGCTGGTCTTCAGTCATTTGCTCAGGAGAGAGAAAATGTGGGTGCTCTTCTCTCACAGGCGAAAGGGGGGGCAAATGCTGAACAAAGCTGTAATGGATCTTGCTGTAGCTTGATCCAGCAGCAGTCAGGGACGTGGGGCACAGGTGTCTCACTCCTGGGCAGTAGGGCATGACGCTTTAACCCACACCCTCTGACCACGGGCCCAGTCAGTGAGGGCTTCTCCAGCTCAGACAGCTGAGGAATGGGAGCCTTCCAGCACTGTCTCGGTTGTTGCTGATAGGAGCTTTTAGAATGGGATGTGGTAATCATATTCATCTTTTTTATTTTTATGGTTCAGTGAGTTTATTGTATTTTTTTCCATTACCTGCGTCGTCCTTATACTCTCCCCCTCGCCCTGCCCCACAGTCACCACACTGTTGCCCATGTCCATGAGTCTATTCATATTTTCTTGTGCTGATAAAATTATTTCAGAGCCAGGCACTTGCTTTACGCAAGCTTGATGAACGACAGAATTTCACAATTTCTGTAGCTTACTGAGTTTCTAGCTATATTTGTTCATTTATTTCTTATAATTTTAGTTTTTGTAGAAGCCAAGAAATAAAACAATTTCTAAAAGCCTCTTTACTGTCAAAATATTTCTTACTGAAGTGGCAACTTTGGTGATTCACAGAAGCTCCTGGGGGCTTCAGGTGCGCCTGCCAACAACTTGCACTGCCCTGGCTGGGGACAGCGAGCTGCCTCAGTGCTGGGGAAGGGTCTGCAAATGAGTCACCACCCAGCGTTTCCCCTCTTGCTTAATCTTCAGGGAAACGAGGAATTCAACCTCTCCAATAACAATGATTTTTGTTGATACCTAGATACTGCCTCTCAGCTCTCTAAAGTGGTTTTACTTCTAAATACATTCTTAAAAGGCACCTCAAATTTCATCTTTGAAAGTATATAGAAAAATCAACAAAACCAGCACTCCTCTAACCAAATTCCCTCATCCTTCCTCACTTCTAGCTTGCCTGTCTTGGGCTGGGGGCTAGGGATGGTTGTGATATCCAAGTCCCGGTCAACCATGTTATGGCCAAGAGATATGGCCAAGAGAGGACTAGTCATTTATACCTAAAATGTGAACTGGAAGGATACCCCAAACATTTTCATTACCTTACGTCCCTGTATTGCTGCGTAACATATTGCCCAGAACTCAGTGGCTTTAAAACATTTGTTTCTGTGGGTTAGGATCTGGCAAGTTTTAGCCAAGTGTCTCTACCTCAAAGTCTTTTGCAGGTCTGCAATTAAGGTTTTGCATGTGCTTCCAAGCTCAGTGGTTGTCTGCAGGTTGTTGTACTGAGGGCCTCTCCATAGTGTGGTACTCACATGGCACCTTGCTGCCCCAGAGTGAGGGTACTGAGGTGACCCAACGGGGCACAGAAACCACAGCCTTTCTGTGACCCAATCTTAGAAGTGACATCCTGTCATGTTTGCCATCTATTAGAATGAAGTCCACCCTAAAGACAAGAGGATTACAAGTGTGTGACTAGCAGGTAGGGATCATTGGGGTACCTTTAAAAGTTGTTTTTCAGATAACTATTTTTTGTGTCATAGTTAAATCCTTTAATATTCTGCTGGAATGGGCACTTACCAGAATGCTTTACTGGAACAAAGAGCAGATCCTAGTAACCTCACATGCTCTTGATGGATGTTTCATAATAAAGTTGCTGACGGTGAGGCCCTAACCCTCAAAACTCACTCCTTTTGTTATCTAACCTGAAGAGGACTTACAGTAAGGTCCACTAATTTCCCAGTGATCGTGCTTTCCTCTATATTGAATAAATCCAAAGCTACCAATGCAGTATCTTAGGGGCATAACTTCTGCGAACACAGCTCAAATTGTAGGCAGCTGATGTACAATATGTAATACAGTCCAGTTGGGCCAATTGGAGGACAAGGCTTGTTATTGTGTTAAAATAGGCAAAAGGTAGATCTGAATTACGGACATGAGAGAAGATTGTGATAAAAGTGAACTTGGGAAGATGTAAAATCAAGTCGATCACCTTTCTTTATAAGGGATGCTGTAGTGGGTAACAGAAGAGGGTACTAATGTAAACTTAGTTAAACCTTTTAAAACACTTAACATGATCTCAAGTTTTCTGGCTTTTAAAGTGGGATATTTCTGATTTCACAAGGGCTGGGTATGGATTAATATTTGTGCAAAGAGTTAAGAAAAATGCATATCATACGTTTAGTTTTTAAATTGCAACTTTTAAAAACAAGATACCTGTTGACAAAAATTCTTCCTCAGTAGGGCTGAAAGCACATATATTATCTTTATATAGTTCTGAAGACTAAGGAGCTATGTTACCAATGCCTTGTTAGCTCCAAAGACACCAAATTGGTGGGCAAAATACAAAGCTTCTTTGGTGTTAAAAGACCTGATATTGGGAGCAAATAAAAGTTATCAATAAATCACCAATTTTCTGTGCTACAGTAGTCTGAAAGTAAATCACTTCCCTCGTAAGGTCAAAATGTAACTCCACAGGCTTCAAAAATAAAAGAATGGCCCTGGCTGACGTGGCTCAGTTGGCTGGAGAATTGTTCCATAGGCTGAAAGGTTGTGGGTTCAATTCCCGGTCAGGGTACATACCCAGGGCATGTCCGAGAAGGCAATGTTTTTCTCTCTCTCTGTAAAAGCAATGAAAAACTGTCCTTGTGTGGGGATTTAAAAAAAAGCGGGGGCAGGGGGGAGCAGTAATGAAATCTTTTTGTTACCCAGCCATTTCTGGGATAACTAAATGTTTCCCTATGGACACTCAGGGCAGATGAAAAGTTAAAAGGGGGTTGTAACTCCACCCCGCGTTGCTGGTTCTTTTGAGATAGCAATCAGCTTTCTGAGGACAGCACTTAAGTTTTTCCAAAACCCTCTATGTCCATACATTTAACACAAAGCTAGACTGGCCAGTCTGGTGAACATATTGGTTTGACTAAGTCCTGATTTATTATTTTTAGGCTTGTTTTTAAAACAGGTTCCATTACAGTCAACACTGTAATATGAATACACTAAGTATGTCTTAAGTATGGCACAATGAAAACAAATGAACTAGAACAGTTCATGTAGTTCAGGGATGGGGAAGGACTTTCTAGGAGTAACACTAAACAATACCACAAATATAAATGAAAAGCAGACTAGAAAAGAATGTGATCGAAAGACAAAAATGCATTGCCCAGTTGTTAACTAGTCACCAAATAGGGAAGCATGCAAAAATCTGGGTAACATGGGTAAATCACCAAAAATACAAATGGGCAGTAAGACCCATGAAAGAAGTTTCTGGCTTCACTAGGGACCCAAAATGAAAATTGCTACAAGACATTCCCTTTTTTGGGCAAACTGGCTATTAGGGAAAAAATGAGCAAGATTACAACAGGCCCATTCCAACACTCTTGGTCACAGCAGAGCAGACCAACTCTTCTCCACGTTGTTAGGCAACATTAAAAGCCTTAAAATGTGCCTACTCTGCTCAGCCATTCCATCTCTAAGAATTTATCTTAAGCAGTGAATCAGACAAGTGTATGAAACATGTGTACACATGTTCACTATGCCAGTGCCTTAGCCAGAGCTCACACATCTTAGGCATTTTGCACACGCAGTGATTGTAACCTGAGAGGGGAGAAAAAAAACCACACCAAAAATATTCTGGGACAAATGCTGCCAGATGTACGGAATAACAATTCTCAATTTTCCAAAATGTACTGTTAATCCACCCCAACCCCAAGTTAAGGATAGAAGAAATGCTACAAACCCCACAGGATTGCATGCATACAGGTTGTACTTTCACTGTATATTTAAGTTCAAAAAAACAGAGCAAACCAATCCTTCTACTCTGAAGCTTGGTTCAGACTAAATTGGGCAGTAAGTGAACAGAAATCTGGTAACACGTAGGTTATTAAATTGTTTATTGTATTGCATTTACAAAGAAAACAGACAATGCATCCAGTAGAAAGAATAAAAATGTATTCAGAGTTTTATTTTTAACTGACAGCAAATAGAAATCCTTTAGTGAGGTCATGGCAATTTGACAGTATTATGATTAAATCCAATAAAGGTACATGGGGTACATGGAAGATCAAATTCTACAGCTGCTTCTTTCTACAGCTTCTAGTTCATCTGGCTCCTTAAATGATGGGGAAAGCCCTTATTTCATGTGAAACAGTTCCAAAACGAAGTTACAGGTTCTCCTACTAAAAGTTCTTTTCATGTCCATTGTTAAATGGGGCCTTCCATTTGTGTTTTGGTTACTTCACCTTAATATCATCCCCAGAATTCCTGTTATTCCACAATTGTGATTTTACAGTGTAGGAAAGAATTTAGTTCTAGCCTGCTATTGCTTTGGGGGCGGGGGGAGGGGGCGGGGTGTGTGTGTGTGTCGCTGAAAACCCAAAGTGGACTAGAATTGCTGAAGGATTTTCCCTGCCGTTGTCCGATGCAATCTTTTTATTCTCTTTATTCTTGATAGATGCATAGATAGCCTCACTTAAAATTCTTTCTATAGAAACATATCTGATTTCAGGACTACCCAATCAAGGATCTGATGAATGGCTGGCCACAGTTACTCAGGGTAATGCGTTTGAGTTTAATGGATTGCATAATTGTATCACTTTTTCCTTTGCCACCGTTGGTAGATAAATGACAGAACCTACATTCTAATTCCTGTATAGAAAGTTGGCTACACCAAAGTCTCATTGGTAGCTTTGCAGGAGAGCTTCACGGGGCACCTCCTTGGCCTTCTGTGATTCAGAGCCCTGTAGCCGCCCCTGGAGAACGCTGTATTTCCCAAGGCCCACTTGGCCCCAGCTGAGCAAGCGGCTGCGACCTCTGTCATGCCCCTTCTGCTTTTCAATCTGACCCAAGGAATCTGTAGTCTAGGGGAAGTCTGAGAGAGACTCATTCTAAGATAAAGATCATAAAGACTTTTCTCATTAAAAAAAGAAAAGAAAAAGCCTCAAGTACATCTCAATTATTTCAAAGTTGCAGTTAAAAACTTACATTATACAAGGAAATAGCAGCAGAGAATGGCTAATCTTAAACCAACCAACCCAAAACCTAAAAACGAATACGCCCCTCCCACCCCCCTGAAATAATGGAAGAAAAAAGTGCCATCCCATCCCTCCCCCTTGATTCTTTTATCCTGGGATTTCACTTAGGATCAGAAGCCTCAGAAAACCCAAAAGGCAAAGCAACAGAGGGAAACTGCTTCAAAGCTAAATTTTGTACAAGACAAAGTAAAAGCTGTAAACAAAAGTTTGGGGACTGCTTGGGAAAAAAATACGAACTCCAGGACATTTTCTCCTTAGATGGGAAATCTCTGAGGTCCAGATCTCCTTTCTAGAGTCAGCTGGAATTCTTCAGTTTGGGGCAATAAACACAAGTGAAATGAGTCGAGTGCCTGCCAGGGATTAACACACACACACACAAAAACCCCAAAGAGCCAATCAAAATAACTCACTGTTAGGGTAACAGGAGACACATGGGAAAGGACTGTTTGCAGAATATCTGAGGTTCTGAAGAAATTACTAGTCAATGGTTTTGTTTCAGTTTCCATAAAAAATCAGACTGAAGTTCCAAGGCTCTTAGAGTTATTAAAGGATGAAAAAAACATGAGTGTTTTGAACAGTGACAAAATGGTACCCAAATTTGGTGTTTATACAGCTCATTTAAAAGACAGTAGCTTAAAAAGTCGCAGGAAAAAAATGTGAACATAGAGAACAGCAACAATCCAGGAAGATGATGCAGCCCGGATATAGCACGTTTAATGTCTCTGCTGTACAGAGAAGTAACCCCTTCCCCCTTCTCATCCTTATGCTGGCAGCAGGATATGCACTAGAAAATTAGACTCTTAGAGTCAGTGAATTAAAGGATGAGCTCATACATCCTCAAAGCTCTTTTTAAAAAGGCTGCTTATAATTTAAAGGATGTCCTAATGGAAAGACAAGGGTACAGGGCGAGAGGCTGTTCCACATTTTAGTCCACTGTCTTTGGCAAAGCCCAATCAGGGCCAAAGTCACCTAGGATGCCCAATGGCTGTGGGGGAATCTCCACAGGGTCAAGTAAGCAAACCCAAATGAACATGCTGGATTAAAAAACAGAAACAAAAAACCCCTAGAAACCCTTGAGGGAAGAGCTTCACCCTGAAAAGGGAAGAGGGAAATGCTTGGAGGGGTGGGGCGAAGGGCTGAAGGGCCAGCCCGTGATCTCTGCTGCAGTCCTGGGCTGGGGCTTAGGAGTTGAGCCAAGGGTGGCGGAGACATTCGGCGGCAGTGGCTCTTTTCTCTGGGATCAGCTCCAACATGGGCAGTAAGAAATCCGTGAAGCCAGCTGCCTCTTCCTGAGACCACTCATACTTCTCCACTAGAACCTCAAAAAGGCCCCAGGGTTTCAGCTTCGTGATGTGTTTCAGGTCACCTACAGTAAAAACAGCACAAGAGAAACTGACCACCACAGACAAGTGACAACACTTTTTGGAAATCTAGGAACCAATCCAGGTGCTCTATAAGAACAAAATTTTGCCATCAGAATCTAACCCTTCATTTACAAGGCACCTCTCTTCCTACTGCATTCCCTGGAAATAGGTGCCTTCATTTTTCATGAGGGCCTAAAAATTTAAGAAAATTTGTTCACGTCACCATGCCAGGATTTTAGCCCAGGTCAAATTGGGTAGGGCTGTCAGGAATTAGGTATTTACTAAAATGAATATTCTGGAACATCAATCTATTTTTCCCTTCTTTGATGTAACAATTTTTTTAAAAGATTAAAGTCAAATCAGTGGCTTATTAAGGAAAATGCTGCTTTAAAATTTTTCTTATACAACACTTCTTTCAAGCCTCGTCTGTGGGCAGCAAGTGCCTCTTCGATTTCCCACTCGGTACAGGTGCACCATTAATCTGATTTTGCACACAAGCAGGAACTCTTACGAAGCACTTCATCGTTTTCCTGCCTAAAAGAGGAACATTAAGAAATATTTCTGAGTATGCTTGCTGTCAGTATTGAGAAAAATGATTTTTCTCAGCAATAGTGTACAAGTTGTGAGGAAAAAGGGAACCACGGCAAAAAGGAAAGTCCAGTTTTCTAGTCCCTCGTAAGTCAGGTTTTCACATTTCAGCTTTTAAACTTTATCTGAAATGCAGAAGAAAACATATTTAAATATGCCAACATATATTATCGAGTTGAAAATTTGAAGTGAGAGTTTTATCTTTGTTTCCTTCACTAATTAAGTGATAACAAACTTATGAAACTACAATATATAAAGTTAATTCACATGACTGATATGATTAAGTGACTGTGTTACGGGTCAGTGGGCTACAAGATGAGTGATACAGTCCTGCTCTTAAGCTTAAACCAAAATACTCGCATGCTCTTTGATAGAGGCAGTTCTTAGGCCAAAGACTTGCAAAAATTTGTCCATTTCCCAGAAGTGCTATATAGGGGTAATCAACCAACTATGTGCCTGGTACTAATACACATAGTAACTAATTTAATATGACATAAACCTTATTATTATCCCCATTTAGAAATCAGAAAACTGAGGTTGTATCAATGGCTACAAAACTAGTGGAGCAGCTGAAATTTGAACCTCATGGTCTGGCTCCAGCTTCTGCTCTTGACTATACTACTTCAGCTCTCTGCTAAGTAGACCATCCTTTTGTAGGTGCTGGGAACATGTACCCAGCTGTACTTACCTCTTAATTTTTAAACACTTTTGCTCTCTTAATGTCTCTCTCTCTCTCTCTCTCTCTCTCTCTCTCTCTCTCTCACACACACACACACACACACACACTCTCTCTCTCTCACTCTCTTTTACCTTTTTTGGTGAAAAACTCCTTGGAGTATTTTCCTGCCACAATGAGCTTGCGAGGCACCTTCCCCAGAAGTTCTATGATCAATGCAATGTGATCTGTATGTTTCAAATATTTCAAGAGGGGGGGAAAAAGACATACATAACAGGAGTAACAAATACAGTTCTAGACATTGGCAGAAAGAGTAGCATGCACACCTCTTTATAAAGCATTTCAGGCTTGCTTTCTGTCCTAAGTGGGAAGAAGAGGACTCAATACATCTAATGGACAATCCAGAAAACCATAAAAAATTAGGTGCTCACTCCAGTGGCATTTGAGCAATAAGTAAAAACAGCCTTGGTGTGAATGCTCTGCTTCCTGAAGTTGTATCCCTGGGGCACAGGTGAAAACTCATGTTACCAGTACTACTTCCATGACTGAGTAAGTCCTGCGAGTATTTCCCCCTGAGGGCAAAGAATCTCGGAATTCTGCCCATTTGCTCTGTAACGTGTGCAGTGGGGTCTAAAACAGAAGGGTAAGAAGAACAGGATCAAGGACAGGCTGTAAAAGAGGTTTTTCTAGGAACAGATTTTCAAGGCCAGCTGTTTAAAAGTAACTGCAAATAAAACCAAGGCCACTCAAGGGCAGACTGGGAAGACCAAGAATTATTTCAGGTGGCTGGTCATATGATAGCAGCTGGCATGTCCCTTCTGGAGTTTAGAGGCTTATCTACGTTTTTATTTCTATTTTGTCTATATACCTAAGTTCAGGCGGGATTTTTGGGAAAGGTGAAAAAAAAAATGTACCAATGTGCTTTTAGACATTCTAGAACTATAATTTATAAAAATGTTCATTATGACTAAAGCACTAACATACGATTATATGAATTTTCATAATCTCCCTGCACAATAGCCAAAGATATATACACCATTTTAAAGATGAGAAAATGGAACTTCAAGGAGAATGAATGGCCTTCCTGAAACTACCAGGCTAGTTAGAGCTAGAATGTGAATGGAAACCCACCTCTTACCTAGTAGAGTGGTGTGTATGTGTTTTTAAAAAATAAATCACACTTTTTAAGTAAAACCAAGCACTAACATTGTAGGCCACGGAAATGTCCAAGTCATGCAGTGCCTGGTAACTGTCAGAGCATAAACAGGGACTGTGAACACTGACAGGGACATGTGCGGTTTGTCATCAGGAAGTGAGCCTGGGACCAGCCAGCATCCACACTTACAGGCAGGTGACAGAAACGAGGATATGGAGAGGGTTTAAAAGTAATTGTTCCCAGCCGCAAGAACTTTTTAAATGAATTTAATCCTGTAGTTATATATTCATCAATGTAAAAAAAAAATTCACAAAGTTCTAATAATGTATCTTCTAGGGGAATAATATGCTAGACAGCAATATAGCTGGGAATTTTTGAAGGTTTCAGGTCTTATCTGTTTCTTATGTAAGAACTTACTGGTGTCTTTTTAAAAGCGCTTTACTATGTGAATTCCCTATAACCTCTGGGAAGTTTTAATTGAACTTACGGCTTGGTAACAAGTACTTCGCTGCTATGAAATTTATGCAAATTTTAGGCAGAACTTACAAATAAGTATCTTTGTATAAATTCATTGGGAGACTATGGTTTATCTTACTGTAAACTTCCAAGTGAAATATTTGTTCTTTTAATATTTTTCCTATACCAAGGAATTATTTTTCCCTTGAAATTGTTATTCACACTTAATTCCAACAACCTATAAATTAATCATGAGATTAATTTGCTTATCAATTAATCACTGGATTGATTTGATAGGCAAAATGATTACCAAGTATTGATCCAAAGACCCAGGGCTGTGGAACGTCAACAATAACAGCGTATATATTACAGAGGCCCCAGTCCTATTGTGATTTGCAACAAACTGCATGTACTAATCAGGGGTAATAAGGGGTTGCTTTTTTTTTTTTTTTTTTTTTGCGCTCTTATGGACCAAATTATAGTTTGAGGTTTCATTTAAAGACTGTTAGTATTGACTGGTACAGGAAGGAAAAATTAGGATCTAAATATCTAGGGTAGATGATTCCCCCTTGTCCCTTACTTGAGACTTTTTTATACATTTCAATTTTCAGGTTTGGTAGCATAGGGTCCTACGCAGTATAATTCTAGCCACTATATCTGTTCTGGACCACACACTATTTATAGAGTCTAGGGAAGTAAATAGAAAAAAAATTAATTTCCTTTCCAAAGAGATATAGTAGGGCATTTCTAAAACAATATAAATCTATAGCCCCAAACATAAAACCCAGAAAAAAAGCAAAAAGAGAACAGGGAAAGTCATATGTATACAAAGGTTCAGCTGTACCCACTCAAATAGGCACTTGGCTACAGGAATTACTTAGCACAGGCTCTATCAACATTGCCTATTAATATCCCAGAGGACCACAGTCTGAGAAATATAGAAAGCATTCTTGTTTCCATTGAGCATAAAACCTGATTTCCCAAAGCATCAAGGAAAGCACAGAAAGCAAAGGACTTATTTTCCTCAATGGGAGGGTACATTGCTACTGTTCTCTCAAAGTAATCCCATTAATCTGAAAACAAAAGCTGCCTAAACTGTACAATAGAAGATAAAATATTTAATAGTTTCTTCATTCACATTATCATCTCTTCTAGTTATTGGGATGCTACCATGATATGAAAAAAGAAAACCATATACTCAGTCGTATGCTTCCACAGCCTCCCAGACAAAGCAACTGACAGCTTGGGTTCTACCCACTGGCTACCACAAAATGTAAATTAATAATTATTTTAAAATACTGTAGTTATTTGTTTTCAGAGAGAGGGGAAGGGAGGGAGAAAGGGAGAGAAACATTAATCGGTTAGTTGCCTCTCTCATGTCTCCAGCGGGGGACTTGGCCTGCAACCCATCTGGTGCTCAATCCACTGAGCCACACCAGCCAGGGCTACAGTATTTTGTTTTAAAATGGAATTCTAAATGTTAGTATCATTTACAAAGAAAAAAAATATGGCTTGAATTTTCATGAAGGGACAAAAGAATGCTAAATGTTACAGAATTTATACAGACGAATTAAGATATGGTCTCTGCATTCAATAGTAGTGTGTTTGTGTATTAAAATTATTGATTTCTAAATAAAGCTGGAGGTATAACTGAGCAACAAGTTGATAAACAGGTAGATTAAAATTGAGTAAATAATGAATCACCACTGATAACTAGGTGTTTTAGAAGAATGCAAATTTTAGTTTAACCAATTGGGGCCTTCTCTTCTCATAAGGTTCTTTAGTATCTATTATAAAATATCTAGTATAAAATATCTAATATAAAACATCTTATATTTCTATGTTTTCTGGGATTTATATATACTTAAATTAGCACACTAAAAAAAGGCTGGGCGGTGGTTCTTCAGTACTAACTATTGATGTTAGTCACATGTTGGAAGTGTAACTATCACACACTAATATCCTCAGTTAAGGGGGCTCACCTTCATCTCGAGTGTACTCTTCCCCCGAATGAGGTTCAAACAAATAGTCACCTGTGGCCAGTTCAAAGGCCTAAGAAAAAGAGGATAGTGTAAGAAAGCATTAAAACAAAACAAAAAGCTTAATTTTATTTGGCTTAACATTAAGTAACCTGCAGATAATAATTAAAAAATATCTAAGGAATTATTCCTAAAGAGCTTTCCTTCTACACTTGTATCTTAATAAAGTGGAGCAGAAAAATAGCAAAAACTCAGTTAAATATCAGTATGTGGATATTCCATGCCCCGTGCCCCCGCCAAACTAGCAATTCAGACCTTGAATTTTCCTTTTGCTCAAAGGGGGCACATCTGGATAAGGTGATTTGAAGTTATTAAATTTTCACGACAATAGCAGGCTTAATTTTCTTACGTTATAATTTTACATGGCTTTCTTATAAATTGAGACTCTATATTCAAAATTAAAACCAAAAAAAAAATCAGTTATTTTTCTACCTATGACTCTTTAGTGTTTGGCAAAAAGTACATTTTAAAGTTTTCCTTGGTTAAGCACCCCTTAAACTATCCCAGGTAGAGAGTTCCCAATTCCTAGTCCTATAGAATATCAGAAAAAAAATCAAATGTAAATGGAGTCAGGAGCCACTCGTGATCGATGCGACCAGCAGGTTAGCACTCACCAACCAGGAAAAGAAAGGCACATGTTTGCCATCACAAGAAAACCTCCTATAAATGGTGTTTAAGAGTATCTGAAAAAGTGATTTCCTGTGGGATAAATGCCAAGCAGTATGAAAAGACAGCATTTGAGTGATGGGACTATATTAATTTTTCATTAATTATAATGGATTAAAAAAACCCAACAGAACAGTTTTAAAAGGACCTTATTGATATACAAGTGCAGTTATAAGTCAAGTGCTAATTGTGGGTTAATTCTAATTAAGTCAATGGCACTAAGTAGTCCAATCTCAAGAGGTGTGGGGTGGATTTATTTGGGGCATATTCTCAATTTAGACCCATGTTTAGGTCTTCGAGGCTTGCTGGTGTCAGGTTCTGCAGTTTCACAATGAGACCCCCTTTCTCAAAACAGTATTACCTGGGCTGTACTACCACCAAGAGCAAGGCCACAAAACCAGAAGTTTTAGGGTTGCCTCTAAAACACCTGGCATTCTATGGCTTCTTGCTAGGCTTAGCTTGTTTTACATTCCAGCAGTTCACTATGAAACTGAGCCACACTGACAGAACACGTAATTGTGCTACCCTCTAATTATCCTGAGATTTATAGTCCCAAGGTACAAAAGAAACAAACGGTGATTCTTATTCATCAAAATTTGTTAATCTCTTCTGACACCAGTACTTTAACTTTTTAAAGTCTTGTAGTGGGACTTCAGTAAAGATACTGAGATTAAAATTCAAAATAATACAGAAAAATTTCTAAAACTTAAATTTTCTAATTTTTTCCACCTAGATACTTACATCAAAAGTTCTCCAAGAGAACTTTATTTTTGAAACCTAAGGTAGTTACTAATAGTTACATTTTTATAAACAAGATAACAGCAAAACCCACACTAAACCAGACGATCACTTTATAATCAAAAACAAGCAGCAGATGCTCCGGATAATAAAACACCAAGTTGAACACCCCTCCTTTAGAGAGGACAAAACTGTGACCAAATGGAAAGGCAAAGCCCATCCCACAATACACAGGGCTCCCAATTCCTGCTCCCATGCCTGCGACCAAAGACCCAGTTCTATATCACTCAGGGTGACAGTGACAGACACAGGCAAAATCAGTTATAAAATCCAGTGTGCTGGCACATTTAGACAATGGGATTACATTGTGCTCAAAAGATACGAGCATTCAAGTCATGAAAAGACATGGAGAAGCCTTAAATGAATATTACAGAAGTGAAAGAAGCTAACCTAAAAGACTACATACTATATGATTTCAAGTATATGACACTTTGGAAAAGGCAAAACTAGAGAGACAGAAAAAGGTAAGTGGAGGCCAGGGACTGAGGGGAGGAAGGGAAAGAGGGATGACTAGGCAGCACAGAGGATATTTAGGGCAGGGAAATATTCTATCTCATACAATAAGATCCCCAGAATATTTAGAAAATTTAAAACATCTATTTTTTATTGATTCTTGATGTCCTTCACAGAACACTGCCTTTATATAGCTGCCTTTCTAAACTCTGTAGTCTCAAATGGTATAGGTAATCTCACAACTTGTCCCTCTACCTCTCAGAAAGGGTCCCAAATCTTTCTATCAATTAATTACAATGGAGGTAGGATCCATCTCTCCAGGCACTTCCAATATTCTAGGATTTATTTTTATTCTCTGAATATGGTCAAATTTAAGGCAACAATTCTACATCTATCAGCGAAATGAGAGAAGCCTAGGGGGGAGGCAGGAAACGGGGCTCCTGTTCTCATGAAATTGTCTCATGTCAAATAAATGCTTTCCTTCCGTGGTCAAGAAAATTCTTGCATGTGAGCTGGTCCAAACAGGTGGCAAGGCTAATACCTCTTTTACCTTTTTTTTTTTTTTTTGCCTCACTTTTTAAGCCTGACATAGTAAAAGCTATGTTAAGTAACAAGCAGGACCTAGTGCCCTCAAACAACCAACTATTAAGAACCACTTATTATCATAATAAATCAGATGCCATCTATAAACTAGCTATATTTTGTAGCTGGTGGTATCTCTCACTTATTTACTCTAACAAATCAAATTCCTCAAATTCAAGGCTTTAAAGTATGGCACGAAATAAGTCAGATTTTATTCCAATATTCTCTCATCTTGTGTATACAATACCAAACCTTTACTTCAAACATCAGCCCACTTTAAAAGTCAATGATATGCCATAACAAAACAATTTATAAATTCATGGCATATTAACAACATGGTTTTAACTCTATTATTTTTAGTGTAGATAGGTAACTAGTTATTAAGAATGAACAAAGCAAAGGGAATCAGACATTGTTGAGTCTAATGGACTAGGGAGCATGAGCCTGTTTGCGTCACCAGGAAGCTACACCTTCACACAGTCCAGGGGACCACAGCATTGCCCCGCCATGGATCATACCCCTGCCTTCCCCACTCCAGTACCAGTTTGTACGGGGGGAGCAAGTGAAAGAGAGCACAGGCACAACACAAGTCAAAATGGTGCTGGGGGAGGTGCTTGACAGCAGAGGCCTGTCAGTCTAACCTGGGAGAGGGATCAGTTGGCGGGGCGGGGGGAGACCCATCAAAAGCCCGAGAAAGTGATTGGTTATTTTGAAAAAGCACCTGTCCATCCCAAGCCTGAGATAATATAACCCAGCTTAACAAAGAAGCCCCACTAGCTCAGTTCACTTACCCCGTTCCCATACCCCGTTCCTGTACACATTCTCTCTGCAGTAACCATGTGGGTCTAGCAGCTGCGTAAGCACAGGCTCAGGTGGGAGCCTGGGTACAGCAGCATAGCTGGAAACAGTGCTAAGCTACCTGGATAGGGATGGAGGCTGCTTGGCAGCCGCCTGAAACAGAAACCCTTGCACACTGGCCTTGCTGAAGACACAGTTGGACTTTTTCCATGGCAGAACGGATGGAAAGGGACACTGGGAACCGAAAGGCAATCTTCTATTTCCACCTGAATAAATGTTGCCACACCACAACTCTCCTGTGTGTGTGTCTGTGAAATGCTTTTCTTGCCATCCCGTGAAAAAGCCCCGCTACCACTGGCAACATTATCTTTGGAATTTCAGGAATATAGGTGTCAAGAAACCTATGACTCAAACAGGTAGAGGTTTGTAACCTGTCCTTTCTCTTTCAAATTCTCCACAGAGTTGACTATGAATACTAAATGTTAAGTAAAATGAGTTTATTTTTTGCTCAGTTCACCCATTTGATGATCCACAAATATTCATTAAGTACTGTCTTACTATAAAGAATTGGTCTTTTTTCCTGTGTTCTGGAGAGAGTCTCTAACTCTTGAAATTTCCAAGTGATAAGAGTGCCCTTTGTTATTCATAGTGGAACCCTGGGCCACACTTAAAATTTATACTTTAAATTTATACTAATGAGGTGACTCATGATGAGCCTGAGTTCTGTGAGTCCTTCTATCAAATTACTGAATCTGAAATGATAGTGGAATCCCCAAATCTGCAACCCGATGGTCAGAAATACAGGTGTCTTGTGAAACTCAGAGCTTCTGGCTGTGCCTGAATTGATGCAGCCTTTGTGGGGAATGATGCCCTTGACTTGTGAAGTCTGCCATCAAAACTGCACTGTAAACACCCACTCGAAATGTGCCAGGGCCTTAACCAGACAATTTGCTATGTAGGACACACATGATTCCTGCCACCATGGCACTGATAACCTAGTGGAACAGAAGGAAGCAAATACATAACAACAAGGAAAGAGCACATTCCATTTCAGTAAACAATATAACATGTTCCAGCATGAGACTATTCATTGGGAATCATTTAGTATCAACTAAATCTAACCCATTTGAGTACTTGCTTGCCAAGGACAAAGCAGTAACTTAGGAATTTATTGACGATTGAGCTTTACCTCTAACGAGGTACAAAGATATCTGAGTAACTGCTGAACTGTACAGGCTGAAACCGTTTCCAGGGGTTTCCCTAATCTGAAAATAAGACTGGAGCTGAAAGGGCAAGGGTACCTGTAACCCAATCAAAAGCAACACCACCTCAGAGCAGTTGTTTTCAACTCACCTCCACATTCCCCCAGTCTCGAAACTGTAGTGAAGAAACATTTGGTTCCTTCACCTAATAGAAATTTGGCAGGAACCAAATGGGAAGCTAGATGTTTACAACTATCTTTTGAATTCAGGCCTCTCCAGATACAGGATTTAGAGTACCAGTGATATGTCACACAAAAAAACTTTTTCACTTTGTTAATTTGCTGCTCTACTGAAATGAACAAACAGCACAAGGTATGTCATTACCAAATAACAAGTGAAGGTCAAGGGGGAAAACATTACCATGCACGCTGTGCTCCAGATGTCAGCGGGAGTACTGTAGCCAGATCCTATCAGAACTTCCAAGGAGCGGTACTGCCGTGTCTGAATATCTTCAGTGAAGTGTTTATGCTGAGTAAATGCAGTAGGAAACAGTATTTAAAATTTATTTACTCTAAAAAGTAACAAGTCACGATTGCTTAATAATGGAGATTAAAGTAAATTCGTTGAAGTTTTCCCTAAACCAAAGTTTTTATTTAGTTTCCTAAGTATCATTTTGATATTAGCGCCAAGCAGTACTTTGCTTTACAGTCTACTCCAAATTATTTTTGCAAACATATGAATCTAAACTTAATATACACAGATTAGAGAGTAACAATTTTTTTAAGATTTAGGTTTCAAGTTTTGAGAACCCTAAAAACAGCACCTATGAAGAATTCTTGAGAGTGACATCAGCATCATGGCAGAGTGGAGCACACCCTTGGTCCTCCCCCTTAATCTACAATGGGTAGGATATTTGTAACTCAGCAAAGATTCCTCTGATCATTAGTATGTGTGAGAGATCCACACATCTGTACATCTTGAGGGTGGGTGGATTGGAATGCAAGGAAAGGCAGAACTGGGGGAACAGGAGGGATGGTGCCTGGATGTCCTGTTCCTCAGTGGCAGCTGAGTCCACAACCCCAGGGAGCAATGGAGAAGGGGCTTGTGACTATGCCCACCACCCCCAGTAAAGGGAAAGGCAGCAGCAACACTGGCACAAGCAACTCTGGCTCCCTTCCCTGGCTGCGGCGGTGCCTGCGGCCCTAGCTCCCCTGCCACCGTGGCAGTGTCAGAGACTGAGACAACCCTGGATGCAGTGGGCACATACTACCCTGGTGACTCTGGTGAAACCCATGGCTTCAGCAATACTGGAAAGCACGCACTAGTGATGTTGGAGGCAAAAGCAGCTACAAAAAGAAACCTCGAAGACACATTATGAAACTCTCTGCAGGAGCTGTGGAGGGTGGGAAATACTAGTAAATATAGCCAGAGTCTGCTCAGGTAAGAGAAACCAAAAATTTGTGCTATAGTACCACCTACTGGAAAACAAAAAGGCCTCTAATCATGAACAGGTTGAATTGTTAAAATTAAAGTTGTACTAAGTAGGAAAAGTGTTCACTACTTCAAATGCACCAGCAGAAGGATCAAGCACCGTGAACAATCATGGTAACACAGTATCACAAACATAAAAATGGCATTTGTCCAGAAACCAAACTAATGTCACATAAGATTGTGATCTAAATGACAGGGAATCCAAAACAGCCATCATGAAGAAACTAAATGAGATGTAAGTAAATTCAGGAAGGCAGTTCAATGAGCTCAAGAATACAATTAATGAACAAAAGGAGTGCTTTACAAAAGATAGTGAAACTAAAAAAGAACCAAACAAAAAGGAGCTCTGGACCTGAAAAACTCAAAGATAAGATAAAGAATACATTGGAAAGAGAGTAGACCAGATAGAAGAGGGAACTAGCAAGCTCAAAGATAAATATCTAGAAATACTTCAGGTGGAAGAGCAGAAAGAACTAAGATTTAAAAAACAATAAAACTCTATGAGAACTATCCAGCTCCACCAAGAAGGGCAACATAAGGATGATGGGTATGTCAAAAGCAGAAGAGAAGGAGGAGGAGACAGAGAGCCTATTTAAAGAAATGACAGAAGAAAACTTTCCAAACCTGGAGAAGCTGGACATACACGAAGGTCACAGAACACCTAATTTTCTCAATGCAAAGAAACATTCTCTAAGATACATTATATTAAACAGTCAAAAGTCTATGGTAAAGAAAGAACTGTACAGGCAGCCAGGGAATAAAGGAAAGTAACTTACAAAAGAACCCTCATCAGCCTGTCATCAGATTTCGCAGCAGAAACTCTACAGGCCAGGAGTAGAATGACATAAAAAAATAGTGAGAGGTAAAAACTGTCAGCCAAGAATAATTTTCAGAGCAAAGTTATCCTTCAGACATGAAGAAGAAAGGCTTTCCCAAACAAAACAAAAGCTGAGGGAGTCATCACTGCAGACTTTCCTAACAAGAAATGCTGAAAAGAGCTCTTCTACTAGAAACAAAATGACAAACATATATAAAACATCAAGTAAGGTGACAGAATCAGAAAAATCGCAACTCTAATACAGAATATGGTACTAAGAACTTAATTACAACATGAAGGTTAAAGGGGGAAAATTCATTAAAAACAACAGCTACTCCAATATGATAATGAACACAAAACCTAACAAGGAATAATCTGTCAGTACTAACTTCTCATATATCAATAATCACCTTAAATGTAAATGGACTGAATTCATCAATCAAAAAGCACAGAGTAGCTTGATGGATTAAAAAAACAAGACGCAACTATATGCTGCTTAGGAGACTCACCTCAGCTAAAAAGATAAACAAAGACTCAAAGCAAAGGGGTGAAAAATGACACTCTAAACAAATGGTATCCAAAAGAAAGAGAGTGCAGCCATACTTATATCAGACAAAATAAATTTCAAGCCACAAAAAGTAACAAGAGACAAAAATGGACATTATGTAATAATAAAGGAGATAACCCATCAAAAAGACAACATTTACAACAAACTTAAGAGCACTAAAATATATAAAGCAATTAACAGACCTAAAAGGGAAAACAGACCAAAACATAATAGTGGTAGGAGACTTTAACACCCCATTTATACCAAAGGATAGAGCATCCAGAGAGCAAGTCAACGAGGAAACACTGGCATTAAATAACACATGAAATCAGATGGATTTAATGGATATATACATAACATTCTATCTGAAAGCAAAAAAATACACGTTCTCAAGTGCACGTGGAACATTTCAAAGACAGACTGTATGTTAGGGCAGAAAACAAGTCTCAATAAATTTAAGACTGACATCATATCCACTGTCCTTTTTGAACACAATGGTATGAAACTAGATATCAACTACCCGAAGAAAGCTGGAAACATCACAAATATGTGATTAAATGACACACTATTCAGCAACTCTGGGGCAGCAAAAGAATCAAAGGAGAAATTGTAAAAACATGGAGACAAATGAAAATATAACATACCAAAATATATGGCATATGTAGCAAAAGCAATAATAAAAGGAAAGTTCACAGCATCACTGGCATCCATTGAAGATACTCTGAGTTTGGTTCCTAATCACATTAAAACAAATTGTAACTTTTTTGCTAGTGGCAGGTCTTGTCTTCAATTTGTAAAAAATGTAACATCTGTGAAGCTCAGTAAGATAAGGTATGCCTACCCCAAGAAACAAAAATCTCAAATAGATACTCTAACCTTAAACCTAAAGGAGGGAAACAGTAAGAATCAGAGCAGAAATAAATCAAATAGAGACTAAAAAGACAACAGAAAGGATGAGTGAAACTAAGAGTAAGTTCTCTGAAAAGAAAACTTTAGCCATGGTCACTTAAAAAAAAAAAAAAAAAAAAAAAGATTAAAGGGGAATCAAGATGGCGGAGGAGTGAGTGGAAGTCACACTGACCTCCTCCCAGGAACAACCTGGAATAACAACTAAATTGTGGAGAAATCACCTGGAACAAACAACTGAACCATAGTGAGAGAGAAGCCTTGTAACTTCAGAGACAGAAGCATTGGCTTTAGCGCAATCCAACTGGTAAGGAGTGAGGAACAGACTTGAGAAGGCGCGCAGGGCGCCCACAGGTGGCAGCACCAGAAGGATATTGAAATGGCCAGTTGGATCCCCGTGAGAAGAGCGGGCTCTAAATAAAAAGCGGGGATCTCTAGCCCACAGCACCAGAAAACAGCCAGCTGCGAAAAGCGACAGAGTTGTTCTCTGCCAGAGACAGGCAGCTGGAGGTGCAAAGAGCCTTTTAAAGGGCCAACACGAAATTTTTATTTGCAGCCATTTACCCCGGTCTCTGGCAAAGGTGGGGCAGAGTAGGCTAGAGACGCCTGAAGTGAGATTGGGGAAGGAGGCTTTGGGGAGAGAACTGAGAGTGTAGCCGGAGGGATCTCAGTGCTGACTTATCCCCCATGAGGCAGCAGCCATCTTGCTCAGGCAGACCAGACCCCTGAGTGGCAGCAACATCAGAGGACCTGATAGCCCCACCCCCAGGTAGGATTCCACCCTGCCCTATGTTGTCTAAGCCACTTGCTGAGTGCCAAGTGGCAGCCACAGACAGCAGATCCCTGGCTAAAGAGGATGCAGAGAGGTCTGGAGACACTTGAGGAGAGACTGGGGACAGAGGCTTTGAAAAGAGAATGGAGACTGTAGTTGGCAGGATCCCAGTGAGGACTCTTCCCCCATATGGCAGCAGTCAGAGAGGACCCAATAACCCTGCCCCTAGGAGGGACTCCACCCTGCCCTGAGCTGTCTAAGGTGGCCTGCTGAGTGCAGAGTGACTAGATTAACAGCTGAAGGAGACAGCCACAAACAGTAAATTCCCAGAAGTCTTGAACAGACTGCCTAAGGTCAGACAGGGCCAACACCTGACATCCTCAGAGGCAGATCCAGAAAGAAAAAAACAGCGGCCTCCTACCACAGAAGTTCATACCACAAAGTCAGGAAATCAAGACAGATCAACTTAAGAAGTAGAAGCAAAAAAGAAGAGTCTCACAAAGAATGGGAAGACAAAGAAATACCCCTCCCCCCACTCAAAGGGAAAGGAGGAATCCCCACAAAGAGAAATAAATGAAACAGAGGCAAGTAAACTATCAGATATTGAGTTCCAAACAATGGCTCTAAGGAAGCTCAGTGAGCTCAGAGAGAATTACAAAACCTACAGGGAAACTATGAGGAACTTACCGCAAACTGTATCAGCATGAAAAAGGACACAGAAGCTATCAATAAGAGGCAAGAAGACATGAAGAATACAATTTCTGAATTAAAGAACACAGTAGAAGGAATCAAGAGCAGGCTCGAGGAAGCACAGGGTCAAATCAGCCAGCTGGAAGGAGAAGGTAGAAAAAAGCTCCCAGAAAGAGCAAGAAAATGAAAAAAGACTCAAAGAGAATAAAGAGGCATTTAGGGAAACGCTGGACAACCTGAAATGTCATCATATCCGTATAATAGGGATACCAGAAGGAGAAGAAGAGGAGCAAGGGATAGAGAAC